AATCAAGAGAAGCAAAAAATTGGAAAAGTCAATTTTTTTTGTTTAAATTTAATTGTATTATTTTTCAATGTCTAAATATGTTAGGTGACTAAGATATTATTATAATAAATTTATCTGTTTAATAAATCTGTTTTAATCCATTGTGTTTCTGTTCTGTTTATTCACTGAGACATTGATAAAAATATTCATTTTCAAAATGGGGTGGATTCATTTATGTTTTTACCACTGTACCTACATGGGTGAGTAACTCTGTACATCCTACAATATTTCTGGACATCCTACAACTTTCAGGTTTGTCCCTAAAGTTAATAATAAAAATATAATAAAATTGAAATTGGCTTCCTAGGAGCAAAGCTGGCCACTGACACCCCCATTTTTACCAAATAATTAATAGTTTAAATGCAGATGAAACTCCAGTTGCTTCAGCAAAGGAGCCAAGTTGAGTCTGTTTCTTGTACTAGTTTCTTATACATAGGCTATACTTTAACTAAATAGATTTATTCATATTATTTATTAAATTACCCATAATATTGTGTTTTATAATTGTCTACCCCAACTCCTAAACCTACCCCTTACAGTAATGCTAAAATAGTAGTTGTTGTTGTATAGTGTCACAAAGATTGTATACTGATGTGTGCATGGCCAAGCAGCTGTAAAAAAAATAAATAAATAAATAAATAAATTTAAAAAAAAAACTTGAGCTGAAATGAACAGGCTTTTGTCAACCTTTTTTTCAACATGGATTTTCCATCAACTCCATTATAATTCTTCCCTTTTTCTGTTCCTTCATGGTCTTTTTTGTTGACATCTTTTTTTCTTCATCCTAAATAACAATTAACATTTTTAGCTTTTCTTTTGTTTTGCGAGTTTTCTCTTAAAAGCTGCTGTGACAACTTGGACTAACAATAGAGAGAAGTTTTAAGCTTATAGTTTAAGGGTTGACTTTATTTTGTTGCTATGGATGATGTCAGCATGAGTACCAACAATGCACACAATGATTAGCTGATGGGTTGGGAAGTCTCTCATAAATATGTTTCTAAGAAAATATTGTATGGCCATATTTTTTTATTTTATTAAAAAACATTTTCAAATAATTTCTTACCATGTTGGGATACAACTGCAATTAATGCAGTGACTCATTGAGGTCAAATGTTTTTTTCAAATGTTTTCTTTCCAAGGCAGATTGCCAGCAACAGACATTTTAGGAGAGTTTGGTCTTAGCTGCATACAAAACACATACTTCCTTACTATATAGTATGCAAGCAGCATATGTATGACTGAATTAATATAGTATTTAAAAAACAGTAGCTAGATGACATATTACCTATTCTGTAATGCGCATCAAATGTACTCTAAGCTATCCCATAATACCACAGGAGATAATTCATGATTGGGATTGAAGTGACTCAACTGGTCATGTGATAAGGATGTAACTTATTCGAATTCTATTTATACTACTCACATTTATACTATAATATGCTTTTCTAGTGGTTGTGTAGTAAATTCTAATTCAAATTTCTGTACAGAGAGGTCATATTTTGATCTGTTGGTTTCACGTGAACACATGATGAAATTACACAGGTCAGAGTTCACTAAGCTTAAACTTTTGAACATGCGAAACTTGTCGCATGAGCATGTGTATGAATGGAAGTCTTTGATGTGAAAAGTGCAGTGTGACTGTGACTTTACTGTTCCTACACACAGACAATTTTCTAAGAGGGTATGCACACCGGCAATATTCGACATCTGTTGATATGTGACGTCCATTATGATTCCTCCCTTTTTCTGATACTCCATGGTCCCTTCTGTTGCATCTTTTCTTTCATTCTGCTGTCTTCCTAACCATTTACATTACCACTTTCACTAAATAACTATTAACATAACTATTCATGCATTAATTTTCTGTCGGCATAGTCCCTTTATTAATCCAGGGTCGCCACAGCGGAATGAACCACCAACTTATCCAGCAAGTTTTTTTGCAGCGGATGCCCTTCCAGCCGCAACCCATCTCTGGGAAACATCCACACACACATTCACACACACACACACTCATACACTACAGACAATTTAGCCTACCCAATTCACCTGTACCGCATGTCTTTGGACTGTGGGGGGAACCGGAGCACCCGGAGGAAACCCACGCGAAGCCAGGGAGAACATGCACAGTTGGCGGTTCATTCCGCTGTGGCGACCCTGGATTAATAAAGGGACTAAGCCGACAAGAAAATGAATGAATGAATGAACATCTATGTGGATGGGGACAAAATACAAATTATATCTGATTTTAAATATCTTGGGGTCCAAATTGACTCCAAATTAACTTTTAAATCACAAATTAAAAAGGTATGTAAGCTTGTTTAATTTCATATATCTAATTTCTGGTTCACAAGGTCACATTTCTCACTGCAGGCAGCTAAAATATTCATGCATACAATGATTCTTTGACATATAACCTACTGTCTAACAACCTGGTCACAGGCAAACAAAAGAACACTAAAACCCATAAAGTCACTTTACAAACAGACAATTAAAATACTGCATTAAAAGCCTCTAAGACATCATCACTGTAACATTTCTCATAAACATAGATTGTTAAGCTGGGAAAATGTCATTAAGTCCTTAAACATTTGTCTGATGTATAAAATCATTCACGATCAGTCATCCCCACTTCTCAGTCAGTTTGTAAACGTCAGGAACACCAGACACAGAGCAACACGAGGAGCAGCCCAAGGAGACTGTATTGTCTGACTCCAGAAAAGTACCTTTGGTTAGGGTGCCTTTTCACTTACAGCTGCACAGAAGTAGAATTCTATCCCTGGCAGCATCAGGATATAACCGCCTTTAATATGTTCAAAAAACATTTAAAAATCTAGTTTATAGAGAATCAGGCGTGTCATCATTCTAGTTAGAATGAACCTAGCATGTTTCCATTTGTGCCTACCAAGTACTAAAAGTACTATGTTTGATTGATTGTATAATTCTTGTATTGTTTTTTTTTTAGGTTGTTCAGGGACAACAGATGAAAAATAGCCTTCTGGCAAATTCTGGTGCATTTGCAGAAATGCTATTTAACTGTCGCTGGCAAATAAACAAATAAATAAATAAAATAAATTGTCAGACTAATCACTCCCATCCAAATTTTACCAGACTAACTGACCATTACTGCCCTTCAAGAAATTTAATCCCACACTAGAAATCTGATCGGGTCTCAGGACTCTCCCATAGGAGTGCACCTTGAACAACAGGAACTGGTGATTATACACAGAGAAAAAGAAAACAGCATAAAGAGAATGCTGATTTAAAAATATGTTTAAAAAATACTGAATTATGTAACATTTTAGACAAAAACAAATTCTTCTTAGCCCCAAAATGTGTTTGTCATATAAATATATAACGCAATGTTCAGCGTAAAAGCTTCTAAAGCAATTAAAGTAATGCCAGAATGCTGATCATTTCCCAGCCATATCAAACCTTATTTTGATCTGACTGTAGTAATTCTCTTTGGTTTATTGTGCAAGTTCTGTTAGAACATCATCCTATCAGAATGCTGCCATGTTTGTGTGAAGTAACATATTATTTGGTTAGAGCTTGAGTGGTGTGCAGCTGTGCACATTGACAAACATGGCGTTTTTCATTGGAACACTTCAGTCAGTGCTTTTACATAGAACTTCTTCTATTTTGTTTGTTTAGTGGATCTGCAGTTCCATTAAAGCATTGCACAGTTCAATGAACTCAGTCGGATGGGTTGTAGACAATTCATCAAAACTTGACCTAGAACTGTAACCTGTACAGTAACATAATTTATAGTCCAAAACAATCATGTGTTTTGGTTTGCAGAGGAAATCGTAAGTTTTTGTTGAGCCAGGATATTCCTGCTTACCATTGTAAAATATCAACAACGTACCCACACATAATAGAAGGTTAAGGAGTGCTGATGTATTTTGGCGTTTCTCAGACTGTAAATAAAAGCAATGTGAAACACTAGTTCCTTTCCAACAAGGTTTTCAGCTTTGCATCATGACTATTGATCAGCTGTAATTTTGAGGAATTAGGTGAAAGGTTTTAAAACACCAAAAGATTTCATAAAAACAAATGACTTCCCTTATTTCACAACATCTTGAATCTCCCTCAGTACCTTCTGGGAATGTATTTCATCAGAGCTGTCCAACAAAAATGTATCTGGAAAAATATGGAGGGATGTATGTTTTGAAAAGCATTTACTTCCCATGTAAAAACAGGTCTTTAAAGTGGTTTTCGAACAAAGACATTTATTTATTTGCTGGCCTGTCAGTTGAATCCAAGTTGCTCTGCTGTTTTTATTAGTACACTGTTTAGTAACTTTTTTTTCGTCATCTAACAAGACCAAATAGCCTTTAAAAAATGAGCGATTGACAAAAATTTAGATTTTTCCAAATGTATAGTATAAGTGCCATTTCTGATTAATTCTTAGTCAATAAAGTGAAAAGGTGTTACTCTGGATCTAAATAGAGATTTATGTAAATTTCTTGCATGCAACAACAAGGAACATTGCATAGTGGGGTATGAATGAAACGCATGCTTTCTGAATAAGAAATACAAGCAATGTTAGGGTCAAATAATATATATATAATAATAATAATAATAATAATATATATATATATATATATATATATATATATATATATATATATATATATCAAGGACATTTTATGTGGTGTGCGCTTCAGTTAGCTTTTCGCAGGTGCCATCTTATTTCAGTCACCGTGCATTTAACAGTTTGTCCAAAAGTCATTTGGTATTGCAAACTCTAACGCGGCAAATATATTGAAGTATTTGATTATCAATCTAAAAAAAATTAAAAACCTAAAATAAAGGTTGGTGGTTAACACAAGCACAGGATTTTCATGTTGTATTACTTTAACAAAAAAATTGAATATTTCAGAAAAAGAAAAATTTACCACTCAAAATTGTGTATTTCCCCTATAGCAGTTAGGGGCCTAAAAATAAACGTTGAAAACACATTTAAAAGATTACGTTTTTAATAATACCAGACAAAAATAGAATTTTGTTAAAAAGGGGGAATGTTTGAGAATTACCCATTCAGTCTACAGGTTTATGTGAGTACTTAACAGTCAGAACAACATGGCACTTGAGTAGGTGTCTAGTATTTCAGAGAGAATTTTAACAATATTGTCACATGCAGACAAAACTTTGCAAAAAGTTTGGTGCTTGTAGCCATTTTACTTGTATTTTGACTAAAATTTGTTAAAGATTAACAACACAAGTAATAACTTTAACTGCAATAATTGAAAACTAATGGAAAAACCTCATTTATTTGGCAAAGGTGATGCTAAATTTCAAGTTTTAGGCAAAAAAATAAAAATAAAATAATAAATAAAAAAAAAAAAAAAAAAATATATATATATATATATATATATATATATATATATATATATATATATATATATATATATATATATATATATATATGTTATTTTTTTCTTTAAAGAGAAAGAAAAAAAAGTAACAGTGAGATTACATTTTAATAAAATTCTTTTAATAAGACAAGTTAATAGTGTTTTCTGAAACCTGGAACTGCAAAAATGAAATAACCCTTTGAGCAACAGTCAGCGCCATACAAGTACAATGTATTTTGGTCCTTGTGAGAAATAGTGCCATAATTTATAACCCGTGAAAAGTCTAAAACTGACTATGATATGCATTAAAATATCTACAATTAGTTTATATATATAAAAAAAGAAGTTAAAATTGAATGACATTAAAAACAAGTCAATACACTGAACAGCTTCAGGTATAAAGGCCAAGTAGTAGTAATGATGGGTGCAAATGTCCATCTCTATCAGACATTTGACCGGATCGGGTATCATTACGAAGCTTATCACAAAAAGAAACCGACAGTGAAAAAGCTAAAATTGTAGGATAAACTGACCCAATGTGCGTTTCTACAACCAACAAAAGGAGTAAAGATCCATCTACTGTCATACCTCATTTTAGACAGCTAATGAATTCAAAATACAAGGAGTCTGTAGATAGATTTTGTTATTAAAATAACGCTTCAGTCCAGTCTTTCACATGTATTTCTCTGGCACTTCACCCTCTTCGTTGAGCAGACATGTGCGTATAAGAGCTTCAGTGACTGCGTATGGATCACAGTTGGCTGAAGGACGGCGGTCTTCGAAATAGCCCTTCTTTTCCTGACCCACAGATCGTGGAATTCGTATGCTAGCACCACGGTTGGCCACTCCAGCCGAAAACTCGTTAATGTTAGAGGTCTCGTGATGGCCAGTCAGACGTCTGGCATTGTCCAGCCCTCCTTTAGGATCGTAGGCACGGATATGGTACTGGTGTCTCTTGCCAAGCTTCTCAATCGACTCCTCAATATGCCTGCAATGAAAAGAAAATGTTTTTGTTAATTCACGTCAGCTATAATCATGATGGAATTTGCTCTGACACACTTACTTCAAACCTCCTTCCTCGCGCATCTCCTTGGTGCTGAAGTTGGTGTGGCAGCCGGCTCCATTCCAGTTACCTGGAATAGGCTTGGGGTCAAAAGAGGCCACAACACCAAAGTCCTCACAAACCCTGTGTAGGAGGAAGCGGGCGACCCACAGATGGTCTCCCATCTCGATCCCCTCACAAGGGCCAACTTGGAACTCCCACTGAAGAATGAAACAACAAGTTGATGTCGCTACATCTTACTCCACAATGCACACATATACTCTATATCAGTGATTCTAAACCGGTGGACCTCAGCGATCCTGCAGGTGGGCCGCGAGATATTAAAATGAACTCAATATTACACTATAATTTTTGGATTACATTATTATGCTATATTAAAATGATCGGGGTAATGCACTCTACTGTTCTCTGATTGATTACTTCAAACTCGGAGCAAAAACAGCCTCATCATCAAGTCTGCAACTAATACACAAGTCTGTTTATTCACAAACTATGCGTGAAGTGAAAGTCTCTCTTTGTGTATTTTTGTGCGAATTATTTAATATATTGCAAAGTTATCCAAATCAATATCCTGTGAGTGTTTTATAAAGGACATGTGCCCATACAGGGGCATCTAGCATGGCTCACTGGCGTTTCTTCTATAGAATGTAAAATAAACTTGAAAGAGCTTCAGACACGCTCCGGCGGAGCTGTTCACTGTTCCCGTCAGCGATCTCCCAATAATATCCAGCTGCCATCAGATCGACGCGTTTCAATAGATTTAGGGTGTTTTACTGCATTTTACATTTGTCTTTATATATTTATGACTATATATTTGATAGTAGATATTCAGTCAGTCCAGTTTAAAGCATAAGCTGGTCTTTGCAGTCTCTCTGTGGTGCTCTTTAAATGCTTAAAATAATAAAATAAATAAAACACATACACACACACACACACACACACACACACACACACACACACACACACACACACACACACACACACACACACACGAGCATTTCATACAAACATTTTAGGGAAAATCTCAGACAGGTGGGCCTTCAAAAATTGATCAGAGAAAGAAGTGGGCCCTGAGGTGGAAAAGGGTTGAGAATCCCTGCTCTATATACACCCACATGAGAGGAGAAACCAAGGATGGTTATAGGTGGTTTCTGCAGTATTTATTGATAAATACTATAGGATTTATATATAAGGTATTAAAAATGAAATGTCTGTTTACTTCTATGAAGCTCTGAGATTCTACCCCAGCCCAGGAAATGACAATTGGCCAGAAAAATAAATGAATAAAAAATGCAAATGTTTTGTTTTATTTTAGGTTAACCAAACAATGGCATCTGAAATCTTTCAAAGATCAAACACTGGCATAGTGTTGTCTAAAACAATATGTTTTAAGCAAAAAATAAATGAAAAAATAAATAAATAAATGACAACACATAAAATAAAATATACTGTATTTTTAAAACGCTTCCTCTTCTCAAAATTGTTTAACTACACTCTATTAAATAATAATAATAATAATAATAAGTTATAAGAGCATTGCTTAAAAGATTTACCTGTGCAGGCATGACTTCAGCATTGGTGCCACAGATTTTTACCCCAGCATACAGACAGGCTCTATAATGTGCTTCTACAACATCTCGTCCATAGGCCTTATCAGCTCCAACACCACAGTAATATGGACCTAAATAAAACAAAAAAATTAAACCCCTTAGATAAAATGTTGCTGACTTACTAGAAGTATCCTTTATCCACAGGTGATTTCTACCTTGAGGTCCAGGGAAGCCATTGGAGGGCCAACCGAAAGGATGACCATCTGTGCCGAGAAGAGTGTACTCCTGTTCCATTCCAAACCAAGGATGCTGGTTCTGGACCATATCCATAATCTTCTTACAGGACTGACGAAGATTGGTTTCTTAAGGCAGAAACACAAAAAGGATTATTGCAACCTATATGCTCACACTAACTGAAGAACTACTTGAAATAAGTTGTGGGTGTTAAACCTTACGCACCTGCAGGTTTATGGTTGTATTTCAGAACATCGCACAGAACCAGTTTGTTGGGGTCTTTCCTGAAAGGGTCTCTGAACATGGCTTGAGGGAACAAATACATGTCACTGTTGGACCCCTCAGCCTGATATGTGCTGGAACCATCAAAGTTCCACTCAGGAAGTTCTAGAGGAACAGAAAAGAAAAAAAAAGTTAAAATCTTTACACTTTTTAAAGAGAGAGGGTTATAACTTAATAATACAACAACTACCTTCAACAGATTTAGGTTCAGAGTCTAGAGTCCTGGTTTTGCATCTCAATCCCTCTCCGGTTCCATCAATCCAGATGTACATGACCTGAACTTTTTCTCCCTGAGGGAGATCCATGTACTGCTGTTTCATAGCTTTGCTTAATTTGGAACTGGCTGAAGTGGCCATGGTGGTGCTAGTGATGCTATATCAAACCTGTTAGGATAGAAATGGAGTTTATACACTGCACAAAAAAAGTAAGTAAATAAATTATTATTATAAAAACATTTAATAATAATAATAATAATAATAATAATAATAAACTACTACAAAAAAATTAGGTAAAAAAAATGCATGCACACAAAGTAATGAAAATGGTTTATAAATATACAATATAGAAGTCTGCAAATATAACGTTCTATTGAACTACTGAAGACATTTTCCAAGACAATTTTGAAAAACTCTTTTGATCCGCTTTAAGTGTTGACTAATATTTAATAAATAAGTAAATAAAGAAATGTATTTATTTATTTTGTAATATATAATTTGTCAATTCGCATACATTTAATAGCCCCTTTCCCCATCCCCCAATCTTCTTCCACTTTATGTCGTGTCGTCAAACTTCGCAGTGAAACTCCTGTTGTCAGAACCAACGTGGCCGGTGAAACTGCTTAGCTCATTGCGTAATAACAGACAATGGAGTACCGAAACAGCGTCTCGTTATCGTTTTACTTTTGTAAATACGACCATATGGATCATGAATAAAAAAAATCCAAGGCATTATTACTAACAACTGAACGCAGCGTTCAGGTAAGAAACTCGGTAACGTTAATCTGCATTATTCACTTTACTAACATAAACGTTAGGTCATTTAAACAGCTGGTGAAATCGAACAAACTGATGCAACAATTTCCTCTGATTAACAAACCAATAAAAAGTGGTATTTACTGCAATTTTAGAAAACATTAACGTAATTAAATCGTAAAAGCCTAGATTTTAGATAAATAAACATGAAATTACCCATTTAGAGCCTTCTAGTTAAAACAAACCATTTAAACGCACTGTATACTCGCGTAATACCGCAAATTCTGTTTTAAATATAACGTTAAAGATACATACCTATCAAAAAGTACAAATAGTCACTATAAGAGTGGCTGTATTTCCAGAGGGTTTTATAGGGTAGTCCTGGCTGTTTGTCTCTCATCCTCATAACAAACAGCCTCAGCGTTGACCGAACTTTTAAAGCGGGGTACAGATCCCTCCTCCGTCGTTTGGACGGAGAAAAACGCGATTTGAGGATGCCTGTGTTACGTCACAATAAACAAGCATTTCATTGGAAATTTCTCAAATAGGCGGGGCACCCATGAGCGTTTCGGGTGATGCTTTGTTAGACAAAGAACATCAAATATATTTTGACGAAAATAATTTTATATCGCCATCTAATAAGTCGTCGAATATGTACATGCGTCCACTGACCGATATACGGTTTCTTTACAATCTACTGCCAGTAAAACGGCTGTCTTTGGCAAGAAAGATAAACTTAAACAAACACAGGTCCATTACGCCCTCCAGTGGTGTAAAACAGCAAGTTAATCAGCTCAATAATAGCACAATATTATTGATATTATTGATATTTATGATAATAGCAAATATACAATTTTACACTATCACTGAAAGACATATAGATTACAATATTAGCAATTTCACAAATGATACTATTGTACATGTCTAAGATTAATTAAGATTAACAAATAATTTTTATTTAATTTATTTATGTATGTATATAATATATGTAACGTATGTAATTATTTTGGTTTAAGGAAAAAATGTCACTTTTAACGCAAGCTTTATAAAAACATACATTTTAAAAAGTGTGCACTCTTTAAGTCAAGTTCAAATAAACAAACTTGCTACATTGACCATGTCTTTAAAAAAATACTTTTACTGAAGCACACACAATGTTTACTGAATCAATAATTTGTATACACTTTACAACTTTATTAGGTACCCAGTTTTTCCTTAGAGGCTTGGATCTTTCATGTTACAAAGCTAAAATTTCAAACATGCAATTTCTATACTTAAATTCCCATATGGGTAATATGTCCTGAACCCATATGGCATGTATTGTTTATTTATTTATTTGTTTGTTTATTTATTTATTTGTTTATTTATTTATTTAACAAAAATCTACAGAGATTTATTTCAGTTTAGCCTCTGATTTATCAGGGGTCATAACAGTGGAAGTGAACCACCAAATACTCTGGCATATGCTTTTAATATTGTGCCATCAGAGTTATGAAAAGTTATTTTTGAAAGTAATGCATTACAATATTACTCTCCAAAAATGTAACTAGTTTTTATAATAAGTAATGTGTTATATTACTTTTTGTTACTTTTTTCTGGCCTGGATGATTCTTGATCTGTTTCATAACTTGCAGGATTTTTTTCCTCTTCTTCTGTTTTTTTTTTTTTTTTTTCTCCAATAAAGGGACTCTGCAATTAACAAAGCACCATATAGCCTACACCTTAAAAAACAAAACAAAACAAAAAAATACAATAAAAATAATAATGTTGGATGATCTTATTATCTGAGAACTTCCTGACCCTCAAGCTATATGCCATATATACAGATTAATGTAAGTGCAAAGCAATGTGTTTGCAACTTTTGTACTTTTTGTCTTATTAGTGAAGTAAAATCATTGTCCATTGAGACAATGCCTTTTTTCCCTTTCTTTGATCCATTCAGAATAATGAGAAAATTTCCTTTGCTGAAATGTAAGGCTCTGCCAATTTGGTTTCTTTACTTTACTTTACTTTACTTTACTTTACTTTACTTTACTTTACTTTACTTTACTTCTCTGCTGTACCTGAGGTATCCATAAAAAATGCAACTTGTGTAAGTTTTATTCATAACATTGATTTTAGGGTTTTATACAAGTTTCATACAAAACGTACTGTTTTGAAGATAATCTCTTTAATCATTGTAAAAACCATTTAATGTAGATAATGAGTTGGAATATAGTACTATGTCTCCTGATTGTGAAATTGCCACCATCTCTTAAAAATCTTATTTTTCAACATTTTTACAAATGAAGTTTTCCATACTCAATGTTAAATTAAGATTTCTGAAAAGTACTACATTTTTTGTCATTTCCATAAATCATGTTTTTTTGCAATTTTACTCTTCAAAACAACTTGGAAGTTTTTGACTAGTAGACTAGAATATTATTTAATATTTTTTGTCATACTGATTAAACTATGTTAAAGTTTGTAATTAAATATAACTATAAACTATATATCTAAACCTTGTTAAAGATTTTTTAAACAGTGAATTTATAATATTATTAATAAAAGTTGTCTAGATGTATCTATCACAGCAGTCAGACTACTACTGCAGTGATAAATGGAAGAAATGTTGTCACAGACCCAGACACACACTAATTTTTCTATTGTTTTTCAATGTAAATACGATCAACGGATGTGCATAACTGTTATGTTTAAACACATGAGTTCTTTAAGAATGAGTTAATGATAATGTGCCCTTCCAAGTCAAGCCATAACAAAAAGATACAACTTCCACTATTCTTTAAACTAGTTGGTAATTAGCTGCATAGCAAAGCCTAGTAGTAGTGGTCCATTCAAAATATGGTCAAAACTGAGCTTTCATTCTAATATCTGTAGATATAAATGATATAAAAGCTTTATTAATTCATTTTCTTGTCGGTTTAGTATCTTCATTAATCTGGGGTCACCACAGTGGAATGAACCTCCAATTTATCCAGCAAGTTTTTACACAGCAAATGCCCTTCCAGCCACAACCCATCTCTGGGAAACATCCACACACACATTCACACACAAACTCATACACTATCGACAATTTAGCCTACCCAATTCACCTGAAAGGCATGTCTTTGGACTGTGGGGGAAACCAGAGCACCAGGAGGAAACCCACGCGAATGTAAGAAGAACATGCAAACTCCACACAGAAACGCCAACTGAGCCAAGGCTCGAACCAGCAACCCAGCGACCTTCTTCTTGCTGTGAGGCGACAGCACTACCTACTGCGCCACTGCTTCGCCCGATATAAAATCTTTCTAGAGAATTTATTAAGCCACCTACTACTTAGATATCAGTGAACAGTTTTACTTTTAGAATTAATACAATCTGGCACAGTAAATATACAATATGCTATCTCATTTAATATGAAACCTACTGTACCTAGGGTCTCTGTTCTAAACTATTCATGAATTATAAATTTTTTTTTTAAAGTTAGGGTTCCTCTTAGTCAGCACCAGGACATGGGTGCACTGGGGCGCTGTTTTTTCATGTCAGTGTTTATGAATAGGTTAAACCAAAAAGAACACAAGTAGTCTTGGATGGGTATTGGTACAGTTTTAGCGGTATTACTACTTTTATTGATACCACTTATCGGTTCAGTACTATAACGGTTCTCTTATTGGTACTTTTTGTAATTTAAAAAAAAAAAAAAATATATATATATATATATATATATATATATATAAAAAATTATTGAACAGAATTAACAACACTCCGTTTTATTTTTAAATTTTTAATGTAAATGTAAATGAGTGCGCACAAACAGCTGAGAACCGTGATGGCTTTTATACTTGATGCGCTTGCCGGAAACGAGCATTTCTCATGTGGGATTGCCTACTTTGCAGACGAATATCAAATATGGCAAATTAGAAAAGGTTGGTCAGTTAATTTATGCAACTGTAACTAATGTTTATTCAGCAATAATTCTCCAGTACCGATAGCAGAACCGTTAACGTCAGAGCTTATCGATACTTCGATCTTTTATAATGTAGCACCGAAACTGGTAAAGTACCAAGTTTCGGTACCCATACCTAGTCTTGACAAACTATACATCAGTCTAAAGCTACAACCCTCAAGCGGCCATTGCAGCTAGTTGTTTTTCAATGGTAAGCTTATAAAGAATGTATTTGCTAAATTTGTGTAAGTTTTACAGAAAAGGCTTTTTAGATATGGAGTGAATATCATCAAAACAACAACAACACACACACACACAGACACACACACGTCACACACACACACACACACACACACACACACACACACACACACACACACACACACACACACACACACACACACACACACACACACACACACACACACACACACACACACACACACACACACACACAACAATTATTGCTGTACATCAAGGTTATTTCGTAAGGTAAGAATCCACAGAAAAACATCCCATTGAACACATTTAGTCCACTGAACAATAGTGTGAATTATGGATGGTTATTCATTTGTTTGACACCGTTTCTAGTAAAAAGCAAGGTGATGTCATATCTTACAGTGTTATAGATAAAATGAGATCAATAAATAAATAAAAACAAATAAAAATTCCAAATTATAGTTACTAAAATCTAACTAGGTAGTTAATAAAATCTACTAAAAGCTGAGTGTTTTGACCTTCTGCACATGCTGTCTCTTAGTCATTGCTATCGATCAGTCACAGAAGTTCAGTCATTTGACTGACAGAGAATTTAGCCGGAGAATTTAACTGTGGGTATAATACTGTATTATATGACAGTTGTTTACGTGTCAGATCTTCACTGTGTGTGTAGCCAGCATTTGCCTATACATGTGAATGTCTCTCTGTTAGCAATAATCTTTCAATATGTTTGGCATTATCATATGTTTGCCATTTATCTGAATGTCTGCTGTTAGCTAAGCTATCTGTATTATTACCATATGTATGTTATGGGCATCAGAGTAAATTGTGCTTGCTACTCAAGGGGGGAAATACAATTGTTTACAATAGAAGGCAAATTGTATTTTTGTTTTGTCATGCACAAAAACAGTCATGTAGCTAAATCTCTGCTGTGGAATGGGTTTCAAGCAGCAGCCAGTAGCAAACTCTTTTGAAAAGATGTTCAAGCACTTTCTGCCAGTGAGAGAGCAAAACAAGAACTCTTGTAAGACTTTTTTTGTTGCATACTGAACTTATTTCACAGAATACTTCTTGTGCTCAAATAAATCATTCTACTATACATTTCTGTCTATTTTTTTACAATCAAAAAATAAGTGATAGGCTATGTGAAAAAGCTAAAATAGTTGTTAAAAATGTTCAATATATGTGTGGTCATCAGACTGCTTCTCCAAATAAGGAGGGAGAAAAATCACAAGACATTGTCTCAGGAAAATAATTCCAGAAATTAAATTTTGCATGACATTGGCATCAAACTCAAAACACATACTCAGGAGGTCATACTCAGGAGTTTAAAAGAAATGTAATGTTGAAAGACGATTCTCTCAAGGACCTACAGTAAGACATAATAGTCATAAGAAGTTTGTTCTTTTTTAAAAAAAAATGTTAATACGTTTTGCCTTCTGAAATATTCTTTTCCATTTTGAATGTTTATATTTGACAGCACACATTTAGTTATTCTTTTTACATTTGTATGCCATATCATGCATTTTACTTTCATGTGTTTTCACTTGATTGATCATTAATTGTCAGGGGTACTTTTGTCAATGTTTT